GTTATGAGTTAATTGTCTTTATTTGAAATTCATATAAAACTTTGTAATAATGTTTTCCATGTCAAAATTTCATTAGTTTAGTTATCTTTGAGTTGTGTAAATAGGAAGCATGGCAGAAAGTTGGCTTTTATTTACACTTTATGGTATTGTTAGCTAGGTATAACGCAATATGGAAATATCAAGGAAAAATACGCTATTGGTTTATTTTGTTAGTAAGTTAATTGTTGTTTAAAGCTAGATAATGTTGGTTGCAATTTGCTATCTTTTGGCACAAACTTGGTCGTGTTATAATCAATGGTTAAAAAAAAGCGTTAGTATAATCCGCTAGGTTCACGATGTCAAATATGATGAGTAATATTGTATGCAATATCTTTTTATTAAGTCAACAGGTAGATTTATTCTCTTTCTTAATAATAAAGGGCCTAAGAACTTATACAATGTGAAAGATAATGCTTAGCAATAATTCATATAGATTGAGAATTAAATTAGTTTGATTATATATACATATCTATCCCAACTCAATCTTAAGCATAATTAATTAAAATAATTTCGCCTATTAGATTAAAAACGAATATATGAGAATAAGTTGAGATGTACATGTACAAATTGCAACACTTTAAATCAATGGTAAGTAAAAAAAAAATATAATTTGCACTAAATAAAAATAATGAAAATTTTTGGAAATATTTCTTCCCTTGATGAATCATTTTTTAGTTTCATAAGCAATTCATTCTTTGGTATATATATATGTTGTATTTGTCGAAATAGTGTTAATCATATTTTTATTCCTTTCTTTGAATTTGAATAACTGCGGAAAAGTTAACATGTCCGCAAAGTGGCCATCGCGGACCACAAAAAAGTAACCGCGTCTGCAAAGAGGTTAGGATCAGACTACTAACTCTCTGAACTTTGATCACCACGGACTGCAAAAAGTAAATGCGACCGCGAATGATCAACCACGGACCGGAAAAAAGTAGACACGACCACGAATGATGTTATCAGACTTCTTTGAAGTTCAATAGCACGGTCCACGAAAACTTGGTCGCGACCACGAAGAAACAACCTCGAACAGCGAAAAAGCAACCGCAGACAGCGAACTAGTACCAAAACTAAGAAATAAAAAAAATACCCTACCACAAACCGCAAAAAATTAATCGTGGCCGCGAACTTCTAACGCATCTGACACTGAAGAACAATTTAACCTAGGGTTTTCACTAAGTGCATCCAATCCATTCAATTAGCAATTAAGGTTACTAACCCTATCCCCCCATTAGGCATGTAAACATTACCCACATATGCTTAATCGGTAATTTTAAATCGAAGGATGTATTTCATTCTAACTAAAAAAATTAAAAAGAAAGATTAAAACAAAAAGAAAAGAACAGAGGCAAATAAAATTAACCTATGGATTTGAACTAGCAAATGTGAATGTTTAGCAGACAAACAATGCTTGATTCAAAAAAATTTAGAGTGAAAGCCAGATAGATGAACAGTGCTCTAGGAGTTTAGGGTTTGAAAAGGGTAAAAGATCTAGGGACCTCCTATTTATACTTATAAGATGGACCCCACAACTTACCTAAATGCGGCCGCGAAATTCTACCGCGGTCCGCATTCTTTTACCTGATGAAGAATAGCCTCAAGCAACCGCGAAATTATGAACGCGACTGCGGAATTCACCGCGGACCGCCCAATTATGAACACAGATGCGAACTCAACTTCAGAGAGATGATATTTTGATCTCTTCAAGTATGCGTCCGCGAACAAAAAGCTCCCCCGCGTACTTCTAACGCGGACCGCAAAATTTTGGCGGTCCGCGAAATGCCCCATACTTAGCCAAATTTTCCAGCCAAAGTCCTGCACTGCACAAACAATTCCTACACAAACTTTACAACTAGTTAGTCCAAAACAAAGCCTAAACGAAGAAGAAAATCACAAAGAAAGAAAAACACATGGGTTGCCTCCCAAGAAGCACCTAATTTAACGTCGCTGCACGATGCATGTTACCATCATTCGCTTGAAATGGATCAATGCCACCACGTGGCTATCATAAAACTTGCCCAAATAGTGCTTCACTCGGTTCTCATTAACTTTGAAGATTTCATCATTTTTGTTTTTCAAATCAAGAGCACCGAAAGGAGTTACATGCACCACTTCAAAAGGGTCACTCCATTTTGACTTGAGCTTTCCCGAAAACAGTCGTAACCGAGAGTTGAATAGAAGAACCAAGTCACCCTCCTTGAATTTCTTGTTTCTGGTATATTTGTCATGTAAGTACTTCATCTTGTCCTTATACAAGGACGAGCTGGAATAAGCATGAAACCGGAACTCATCAAGTTCATTTAGTTGCTCTACCCGGAGATTTGAAGCTACATCCCATTCAAGGTTTAACTTCTTCAGCGCTCACATGGCCTTATGCTCTAATTCTACCGGGAGGTGACATGCTTTCCCAAAATCCAATCGATACGGGGACATACCAATTGGAGTCTTGTAAGTTATTCTATAGGCCCATAAAGCATCATCAAGTTTCCTTAAGCAATCAGTCCGGTTTGCATTGACAACATTGGAAAGAATACTCTTGATCTCCCTGTTGGAGACCTCAACATGTCCACTTGCTTGAGGGTGATAGGGAGTTGACACCTTGTGAGTGACACCATATTTGGAGAGTAAAGTGTCAAAGGCTTTGTTACAAAAATGAGAACCCCCATCACTGATGATCGCCTTTAGAGTGCCAAACCTTGTAAATATGCTTTTTCTTTAAGAAAGCCACCACACTTCGTGCTTCATTGTTGGGCAAAGCCACAGTTTCAACCCATTCGGAGACGTAATCCATAACAACTAGAATATAGGTGTTCCCACATGAACTCACAAATGGACCTATAAAGTCGATGCCCCATACATAAAAAATATCAATCTCAAGAATAGGGGTGAGAGGCATTTCATCCTTCTTGAAAAATCCACCAGCTCTTTGACACTCATCACATCTCTTAACAAGCTCACTAGAATCTTTATATAGGGTAGACCAATAAAATCCACAGCTGAGAACCCTTGAAGCAGTTCTCGCCCCACCATGATGACCACCATAGGGCAAGGAATGGCAAGTATCAAGAATACTCAATTGCTCCTCTTTCTGAACGTATCTCCGGATCACACCATCATTACAAATCTTGAAAAGATAGGGCTCGTCCTAGTAATAATCCAAGCTGTTCCGTTTAAGCTTCTTCCTTTGGTTAGAAGAGAGCTCACTTGGGACAATTCCGGTCACAAGAAAGTTAGCCATATCGGTGAACCAAGGAATACTATTCAAAGACACGAAGAGGAGTTGTTCATCCGGAAACAAATCATTACTTTTGAGGCCATCATGGGGCCTCCCCTCCTTTTCCAAGGGGGACAAGTGGTCCGCCACTTGATTTTCACAACCTTTTCGATTAATAATTTTAAGGTCAAACTCTTGAAGCACAGAACCCATCTCATCAACCTAGCCTTAGATTCCTTTTTTATCATCAAGTAACGGAGTGCCGCATGATCGGTGTGCACAATCACTTTGGTACCCATGAGATATGGCCTAAACTTTTCCATAGTGAAAACAATGGCTAGTAACTCTTTCTCGGTCATCGTATAATTGACTTGGGCATCATTCATCATTTTGCTTGCATAATAGACCAGATGAAATACCTTGTTGATCATTTGCCCCAAAATCGCTCCTACCACAACGTCAGTAGCATCACATATGAGCTTAAATGGTAAGCTACAATTGGGTGCGGTGATGATGGGAGTGGTAGTCAATCTATACTTGAGAAGCTTAAAAGATTTCATGCAATCATCATTGAACACAAACTTTGCATCTTTTTCCAACAACTTGCACAAGGGATTCACCATATTTGAGAAATCCTTGATGAACCGACGGTAGAACCCCGCATGCCCTAGAAAGCTCCTCACTCCTTTGACAGAAGTAGGAGGAGGGAGTTTTGAAATCACTTTAATCTTCACTTGTTCCACTTCAAAACCGTTCTTTGAGATCTTATGGTTGAGGACAATGCCCTCCTCAACTATAAAGTTGCACTTTTCACAATTAAGTACTAAGTTGGTTTCTTCACGGCGGGCCAACACTTTGTCAAGATTATCCAAGCATTCTTCAAAGGAGTCACCCAAAACACTAAAATCATCCATGAACACTTCAAGGAAGTCCTCCACCATATCCGTAAATATTGCCATCATACACCGCTGAAAGGTAGCCGGTGCATTACACAAACCAAATGGCATCCGTGAGAAAGCAAAGGTGTCATACAGACATGTTAAAGTGGTTTTCTCTTGGTCTTCCGATGCTATCAAAATTTGATTGTAACCTGAGTACCCATCCAAAAATAAATAGTAGGCACGCCCGACAAGTCTATCCAACATTTGGTTAAGTAAGGGCAATGGAAAATGATCTTTGCGGGTCACTTTGTTCAGCTTTCGGTAATCTATGCATACCCTCCATCTGGCGACAGTCCTAGTGGGAATCAACTCATTTTTCACATTTGTGACCATAGTCATACTCCCTTCTCCGGAACACATTGTACCGACAAAGTCCATGAACTATCCGAAATGGGGTACACAACCCCTGCATCTAGCCACTTGATAATTTCCTTCTTGACGACCTCTTGCATGGACTCATTCAATCTCCTTTGTTGAAGTTCCACAAAGGGTTTGGCATTATCCTCTAGTATAAATTTGTGCATGAAAAAGGCGGGGGCTTATACCCCGAATGTCAGCCAAAGTCCATCTAATCGCCTTCTTTCTTCTTTGGAGCACCGCAAGGGTGGCATCTACCTGCACGTTAGTTAAGCACGAAGAAAGAATAACAGGTAAAGTTGAACAAGGGCCCAAGAATTTATACCTGAGGTGTGAAGGCAAAGGCTTCAACTCCAATATGGGAGGCTCCTCGATATAGGGCTTTGTTGGTGGAGTCTTTCGGTTCTCAAGATCCAAGGAAAGTTTTCGGGGCTCATATGTGTATGAACCCATTCCTTGTAAAGAATTGACATATTCCACCAAGCCTTCATCCTCAGTCATATCATGGTTCAACAAAATAGCTTCCAAAGGGTCCTCCACATTAATCACATCACTGGTGTCTTCAGCAATCACCTCGGTCACAAGATCCACAAATGAACATACTTCGTTGCTATTAGGCTGCCTCATTGACTTACAGACATGGAACACAACCTTTTCATCACCCATCCAGAAGGTGAGCTCCCCTGCTTCCACATCAACTAAATCCTTCCTTGTAGCTAGGAAAGGTTTCCCCAATATGATCGGTACCTCATAGACAACCTCGCAGTTAAGTATCACAAAATTCGTGGGAAGTATGAACTTGTCGACCCGCACTAACACATCATTAATTATCCCCAATGGCCTCTTCATTGTCCTATCCTCCATTTGCAACCTCATGGATGTGGGCCTTGGCTGCCCAATCCCAAATGTCTTAAACACAAAATATGGCATCAAGTTAATGCTTTCCCCCAAGTCGCACAAAGCTTTGGCGAAATCGGCACTACCAATAGTGCACGGGATTGTAAAAGCACTGGGGTGTTCTAGCTTTGGGGCCATGAAATGTAGAATGGAACTCACTTGATGCGTCATATTGATTGTTTCACAATTCATGGATCTCTTCTCTGTTACCAAGTCTTTCATAAACTTGACATATCCTGGCATTTGTTCTAGAGCTTTCGTCAAAGGCTTGTTTATGGACAAACTTTCCATCATATCAATAAATTAATTGAATTGGTTCTCATTGTTTTGTTTTGCAAGCATTTGAGGATATGGTGGAGGAGGCCTTGGCAAAGGAGCCTTGGCATTTGGCACTACCATTTCTGGTATGTCTATCATGTGTTACCTAGACGGGTTCAAATCATTTTGTGCCTCCTCCACATTGTCATCAATGTCAATTCTCACTTCTTCATGCACATTCCCATCACTCACTTGCACATCGTTGATTTTATCATCATCATCTTGAACCAACACATCATCACTCACGACATTTCTTGCATTAGAGGTACTAGAAACTCCACCTCTACCACTCCTTGTAGTCACCGCCATAGCATGGCCCGTATTGTTCCCTCCCTTTGGGTTTACTACCGTGTCACTAGGTAGTGCCCCCTTAGGGCGGGTATTCGAAGCTTGAGAAATTTGTCCAAGTTGGACCTTCAAGTTGCGGATAGAAGTATTGTGGGATGCCAATTGGGCATTGGAGTCGGCGCTTTTCTTCATCATCTGCTCAAACATTGTCCTAATCCGTCCCATATCATTGTTGGACGAACTACGACCTTGTGATGGATATGAAGGTAGGTTTTTAGGTTGTTGATACATCGGAGGCCTTTGAAAGCCCAGCCCCCAATTCCCCTGATTATTATTCCAACCACCTTGGTTGTTATTGCCTCCCTAATTGCTATTGTTATTTCCACCCCAGTTACCTTGGTTGCCCCAATTTTGATTGTTATTCCCCCAGTTGCTTTGTTTATTGTTGTTTCCGCTGTTCTAGTTTCCTTGTTGATTTTGATTTCCTCAATTTCCTTGGCATCTCCACTGTTGTTGTTAATTTAGAGCATCGCCCCGTTGTCCTTGGTAGTTGTTCACATACTGAACCACTTCACTTTGATCATCATACACATTATCTTGATTATAACCACTACCACCTTTCTCAAATTGATCCGGATTTCCTTGAACTTGTTGACCTCTTTGCCTCCTCTTGTTGACTATCATATTTACCCCTTCCATGGCATTCACTTATTTTGGCCCTCGAACTTGTCGCAATTGAGCTTTGGCCAACTGGTTCATGGTCGTAGTTAACTCCGCTATTGCTTGGTCGTGGTCATGGAGCTCTTTGTGTAGGTGAATGACATTGGGATCACCTTGTGGAACATTAGCTCAACTTTGCCATGCCTAGGAAGTATCTGCCATCTCATCAAGTATATCACACGCCTCAGCATAAGGTGTGTTCATGAAGTTTCTCCCGGCGAGTTGGTTAACTACACACTGGTTGGTAGTGTTAATGCCACGGTAGAATGTTTGTTGGATCATGGATTTGATCATGTCATTGTTCGTACATTCTTTAACCATCATCCGATACCTTTCCCAAATCTTATGAAGCGGTTCATTTGGCTCTTGTTTAAAGGCAAGGATCTCATCTCTCAGTGTCACCATATGTACCGGCGAGAAGAACTTTGCTATGCATTTCTCGGCTAACTCATCCTATGTGGTGATGGAATGGTTGGGCAACCTCTCAAGACAATTCAAAGCCTTCCCCCTTAGAGAAAATGAGAAAAGCCTTAATCTCAACGCGTCCTTAGAAATGTTAGTTTGCTTTCTCCCCCAGCATGTATCAACAAAAACTTTAAGATGCTTGTAAGCATTTTGGTGTGGAGCTCCGGTGAAGAAACCCCTCTGTTCGAAGAGTGTAAGCATAATGGTGGTTATTTGGAAGTTGCCCGCCCTAATCCAGGGCGAGACTATTGCACTTGCGTATCCTTCGTTGGCAACACCCGGTGTGCTGCCCTTGCTGGAGGTAGGGGAGGGTTTGGAATATTATCATGAGGCGGTCGGCCTCTCCTTTGTGCTTGTGGTTCGGGTTGAATCTCATCCACATTATCATCATCTACCTCCTCCCCCAATGGCAAATTTCCAGGAGCATCATTGTTAAGAGCCATTTTGTACCTAAAAGCAATTCACAAACAAATCAGAAAATCAAAAGGAAAGAAAAACAAAACACACAAATACTCGGATATATAGCTAAAACCGTTTAACTCCCCGACAATGGTGCCAAAAAATAATCGGTTCCAAACCTGCACTACTATAGAGTAGCAAGGATGGTCGATGAAGCTTTACCCAACAAAGGTCGGGATCGAATCCACAAGGAGTTAATTAGTTTGGAGTTAGGTTTATATTCAAGTAGAGATGCGGGTTTTGCTCTTAATTGTACTTCCACAAATGGTTGGTTTTGTTTTCTACTTCTACTTCTATTCTATAGCATGCAATAGTTAAATCTAAGTACGATATTTTTGTTGGTTATTTTCAAAGATTTAAAGGGACTAGGGTAATGACTTCCGCCTTGGTGGATATCTAACCGGTAGAAAGAATCTGGGGCAATTATGTGATTAATTGGGTTCATAATCTAGCTATAATACTCGGGTACTCACTCTATACCTCTCGGTTGTTTGAGTGATTTTTCCCAATTTGTCTTTCTCAAGTCCAAATGGGTATTCATGCAATTCAAGTGATTTAAGCTCAAGTCAGGTATTACTATCTCTAGGTTTAACCCTTTAATTGGGGCTATCAATTTCTTGAGTTCACCCTAATTCCTTGTTAGCCTAGTTATCCTAGACTTAGTCCCTCTTTCTCAAGTAAAGACCAAGTCACAAGGGCATAAATCAATGTTTCCAACCACTAATTCAATAGTTCTAGCAAGAACTAGGCTAAAAATCACTAACCCATACACATTCAAGCCCTAAATTTCAAGACCCATTAAATACCCACACTACCCAACCCTAGCTATGGGTTTAGCTAATCATGAAAATAGCAAAAATCAAAGATAAAGAAAATATAAAATTCATAATGTTATATTAAAAGATGAAGATCTAAAGTTATAAGGTAAATCTTGTACAAAATTGCCCAAACAGGTAAAACTAGCCGTCTCACGTACTCAGCAAAACATAATATAACCTAAACATGTGAAAAAGATATATTTATACTAGGCTAAAATTCCCGAACAATGCCATTTCGAAAGTTTTGCGGCTGTGTAATTCTAACCGCGACCGCACTCTTGCTTTCGCGGCCGCGTAATATTTAGCACAGTCCGTGTTTATTCGTATCTAAGACTGGCTGGAACTTGTTTCGCGGAGCACGTAATTTTCACCGCGTCCGCGTGAGAGCCTTTCGCGGCCGCGTAATTGTGATGCGGTCTGCGCTTAACATTTTTGCCTTTTTTAGCGAGCTCTCTGAACCTAAGCAAATGCGGTCAGCGAAATACCAATCGTGGCCGCGGTAGTATATTCGCGGCCGCTAATTTCCAGTGTCGTCCGCGTCCATGAATGTTCCCAAAATCCACCTCTCTGATTCTCCCTTTCACGGTCTGCAAATTCATGACCGCGTCTGCGATGACACTTTCGCAGCCACACTTTTCTATTGCGGTCCTCTTTCTACAGTCTTGGCCCAACCTTGGTCTTTATTCAGGTTTTGACTCCTTTATGAGTTGATCATGGCCAATTTGGCTCAGTGTGAACAATACCTGCAAGCAAGCATATTATGTTAGTTTTCGAGGATACCTTTATGCATTAAAAGCCCAAAACACAAGTGAAAAGAGAGCAAATAATGGTTAAAATCCCCACTTATCAGAGACCGCATCAGCCCAGAACTGTTTAGGAACCTTCATTTGGATCAAAAATGCCAGAGCAGTCTCAATTAGATGCATATTCTTTCTCTCAGTAACTCTATTTTGAGAGGGTGTATCAACACATGAAGACTAATATAGTACACCATGTTGTCTCATGTAGGACTGAAATAACTCTGACATGTATTCTTTAGCGTTATCACTCCCTAGAGTACCACTGAAGCATTGAATTGAGTTTTGACTTCATCACAGAAGGCAGAAAAATGAGTAAACACTTCAGAGCGACTCTTCATAAAGTAAATCCAAGTCATCGGGGAAAAATCATCTACAAAATTGACAAAATACTTATGCCCAATTTTAGAAACAACAGGACATGGTCCCCAAACATCAAAATGAACTAACTCAAAAGCTGACTCAACTCGCTTATTAACCCTTGGACCTAACAAGATGTGATGATGTTTTGCAAATCAACATGACTCACAATCCAATGAAGAAATATTCTGAAACTGAGGATAGAGTTTCTTCAATAAAGGCAGAGAGGGATGCCCTAATCGACAATGTGCTTCAAAAGGAGACACGATATTGGAGCATGCAATAGACTGTGGCTCCCATTCATCAAGGATGTAGAGATCACCAGATAAATATCCTTTACCAATAATCTGTTTCGTCATAAGATCTAGAAACAAATAATGATTGGGAAAGAACGCTATACATCAATTAAGGTCTAGTGATTTTACTAACAGAAATCAAATTAAAGGCCAAGTTTGGTAGACTTAATACAAATGACAGAGTAATAGAGGTAGTTGGTTTAATAGTCCTAGATCCAACACTGCTACAAGTTGTTCCATCAGTTACAGTAACTGAAGAGGGTTCTTTGTATGATCGAAAGCTAGAAAAAATATTCGGATTACCTGTATGTGATTTGTGGCACCAGAATCAATCACCCATTTATTTGAAGAGGTGATAAGACATGTCTTTATCTGAACCAGCAAAAGCAATAACCGAAGAAGATTTCTTTATTGATTTATGATATTTAAGGAACTCAGGAAGCTTATCCGAGACCAAGATTGCTGGACTAGGAGTTGTAGCACTATTTACTCCTTGCTTACTATTTATAGTCATTCTGATAAAACTCACGAAATATATTCAAGAAGAGATTAACTAAGTTCCAAGCAGATAGTCAATAAAGATATACTCCACTAGAAATATGACCAAACCAAATAACCAATGATGCACCAATAAATCACACAAACCAGTAATATACTCCACCAGAAAATATAACCAAGAATAATGAAGTATATTCCACCACTAAAAGAACTCAAAAATACCAGATTATCTTCAAACTCCAAATAGGTAGGTAGCTGCGAAGGACCAAATC